GTTCTTAAACCAGCTCCTTGTGTACTCAACCTCCGATTTTTCTGTAAATATCCTAAAATAGCACCTTCGAATAGAAACAGAATTACGAGTATCCGGGCACCCGGTCCCCAATTTCCGCAAAGATATGCATAAAAATGTGCTTTGCCCTCCTTATGAACCCCACCTACAGAAAAGCTCAGAGTTCGCTTTTATCATAGAAAGAAAAAGACCACAAAGATGCATATAAATGACTACCTAGCATTTGCTCATCAGCGCTACTCGGGATGATATGAGGTCACCCTCGCACCTTAATTAGCAGATCTCGCACTTCCGGCTGTCAACTACAATACCGCTCACAGAATGTACAAAATTTCCGTGAATGTTGCGAAATTCCGAGAATTCCGCGAAATTCCTGAAATTCAAGATGAAGTCGGTAATTTTTCCGCAACACATTGTGTACCGTAGCTAGACTTCCAGCATGTGCAAAAATAGCAACATATAATTTTGGCTGCTTATGAATAAAAAATGTAAGGGAATCAATCGAGAATTTTTGCTTCAGTATCCAAATTTTCGTAAACATTGAAGAATAGCGGTTTTACCACAAGTGCGTTCTGACAGATGTGACTCAGCATAAGAGATTGAAGGTGATACATAAGGCTGTTTGTTGTGACAAAGAGCACGTAAACTTTTTCTGTCTTGGCTATAGTCAACCATCGTGGCGTCCCATCAAGGGGGGGGGAGAGAAGAGGACGTATTTCTGCGAATAGAGGTGCGTGGCTAGCTCCAAGTGAAAAAAACAAGTCACTTGCACAATTTTATAACGCATTTATGTAACACAAAATTTTGCAATAAATTCTCAGGACTCCTCGCTCCCCTCCCAGTTTTATCTCTGCAAGAACTGTGTAGTTTTGCATTTATGGCCTTTTCGCACAGATTACTAAAAGTCATTTGAGAACGGTTTGCGTATATTTTTGCGATTTTCTATCAATTAAAAATGCTTAGGGTATGAGGTATGAGACGGTATTATTGCATTAAAATGATGCATGCAAACTTAGGTTTGGTTGATGCTATACTGAAACTGGTCGCAACTTATCTATGTCAGTAATTTTGCAGCTAAGAAATCACCAGGGAAGTATTAATGGCCTTCTCATGAAGACGATGCTTTGGTATGTGCTGTTCACCCGCTGAGAACCACTGATCTAGTCTACTGGATGTGAAGTCCATTGGGGAAAAATTTGTAATGCGAGTTGTCAAAGTTTATAGTGATTTTACATTTACTACAAATTTAAAAATTGAAGAACTCCACATTTTAATTCAAATCATATGATGTCTGACAGAATGACTCCGTTTACCGGAAAAAGAAAGCAGCGGTAGTGATTTCTTTGTTTAGAAATTTTCATGTGCGTTCCCGTTTTCCTTGTAGGCAAAACATGTGCTCAATTCTCTTTCCAAAAATTGGGTAATCAAACCGGCCCCCGAGCTGTAAGGACCCCGTATAAATGTAGACATGGCCCCCGTCGCCGCTGACGGCTGCAAGGAGTGCATTTACAGCTAGAACATAACAAAGAGAATTACCGCGCTCAGTTGAGTTAAACTTGATTAAGTTCGCTCAAAGCGCACTGAGGTCCGCTGGTTTCTCATTCTTGTGGCGGACCCCGCCCCCTCCGCTGACAGCTCCGCCTCCTCCGCTAAGCTTCAGTAGCACCTCCAACTGCACGAACTGCATGAGGCCCTAGATGGCTGCGCGACCTTCGTAGAATCCAAAGTTGGGCCACTCCCTTCCAAGGCAAGCTAGCTCCGCCCACCCAACCAGAAGGACCACACTCTCCTTGAGGAAAAGTTACAGGAGTGTAAATGATTCAACGGTCTTGCATGAAAGCCAATTTTCAGCCACAATAAAAGAGAGATTTTCTTCCCAATGTTATAGACGTACTGTTGGCTCACCCGGCTCCGCCCGGCCCTGTCAAAACAGTGTGATAAAGGTCCCATGCCTATACCTCTGTACAACCTTTCCCTCTGCCCGCTTCTACATGCCAATTCCCTATTCTCGTTGTGTTAGTAATCAGCATGCTCAGTTACTCCTGTGCCAACTACCAACCGCGTAGCACGAACTTTACAAAAAATCGATAAAATCGATAAAAGTAGTGGATAATTATTGAAACTAATATTGTATTCGTAATCAGCATGCTCGATTACCCCCCAGGCAAATCCCAGCCCCGTAGCTCAAATTTTGCAAAAAATCAATAAAATCGATAAAAGCAGTGGATAATTATTGAAACTAATATTGTATTCGTAATCAGCATGCCCGATTACCCCTGTGTCACCCCAGCCCCGTAGGTTAACCCTGCAAAAAAACGATAAAAATCGATAAAATCGATATCGATCGATGACGAAAAGTGGCCTGCGACACCCACCCTCCCCCTGTGTATGTATGCAAGGTTTGGTCCGAATTGGTTCAGAAATGGAATTTTCTATGCGGAACATACGTACACACGGACAGACATACAGGCAAACAGACACTCAGCTTCATATTAGGTCATTCCGAAAGTAATTTCGCTTTTTTCAAACGGACGCCACATGTGATGGAACAAAAATTTCCAAGAGATCTTGGAAGCATTCGATGCAGAATTTCATCCTCTTTTTAAAAGTTATAGAATTATGACAGCACAGTCAATCCTCAAAATTTTTTAATAGAATTTTGATTGGTGCTTCCAGTTTCCATCCTTGATCAACTCAAACATCGTAGAACATCAAACGGTAAGCAGCTCGAGTGTCATTTTCGATGCAGCTTGTTCTCCTCTTTCTAACGGATGCTTTTTGTTCCCCTTTCCTAAAGTTTTCGCGTATAAAATCATCATAACTCATATTTTCGAACGCGTTCCGGGCTATATTCGGAAAAATCAAAGTTAATATTTCGATTCCGTAAACTCTCATTCGCTTCGCAAAATTAGTGTTAAATCATAATACCATCTTGGAAGTTTCAAATTCCGAAGATTTATTGGTGTTTGATGCGAATGTGGTTGATGTAGGTCTGTCAAAATTCGATGGTTTTAATAATAAATCTTCTAAGAAATTATGGCGAGATATAAAGAAGAGAAAAAAGTTACGCTATATCCTATGAGGTTTGCTCTATTAAATCGTATCTTAAGCTTCTTCGGAGGGTTGATGTAAAAATTTAGAAAAATTAGGAAACTTGAGCATCTCAAAAAGCATGGATCGCAGACTTGTAATTTCTCAAAAGCCCATTGGCTGTGCTGCAATAATTTTTGAAAATTTAGAAACACGATGAAATTCTGCATCGAATGCTGCCAAGATCTCTTAGAAATACTTGTTCTATCACACGTGGCGTCCGTTTGAAAAAAGCGAAATTACTTTCGAAATAACCTAATATAATATTATATATTAGGTTGGTCCGAAAGTTTTTGCGCATCATTTTCAAAAAACCATAACTTCCTTGCCATTCGATGGATTTCGTTGAGATTATATCTATTGAGGAATCCATGCTCTTTACATCTGTTCCTTCGCCTAGAATTATTTTGAGAAATTGTAAGAGTTACAAGCAATTGAAGGAAACCAGTAAAAATTGGCAGTTTTCGAGCTGGGTCATGAAAAATTCTGAAAGTATCTTTATATGATAGAGAAAATTATGGTCATTACAGTGGTACTTTTTCCATGAGTTGAAATGAAAAAGATCGAGAGTTAGCAGGAAATGAAGAGAATTCCTTCAGTTTTGCAATTTTTGAGCATGCTCAAAAAAGCCCAGAAACGTCACAGAAAGGACGGAAAAGCCATGAACATGGGTTTTGTAGCCTTCTCTTCACAGTAGAGGCCCACTGAAGCTTTCTACGAACAGAATCCGAATATGGTTGAAACCATTTACAGTCGAATCATTTCATATAATCACGTGTGTCATCTCACACACAATCCACCTTTGGTGTCCTCATGCTGAATTTGCAATGGTAAATACGCAAGAGAGTTTCCGATTGTTATCGATCAAATTAACATGAGATGATTAGTAACTACAAAAGGAAAGAAAATGCCAAGAACTCCTTTAACAAGTTTACGTTAAGGGCTGTTTCTCCCACGCATCCAGAAGAACGCCAAAGGTGAACTGTGTGTGCAGTGACACACATGATCGTCTGAAATGATTCGATTGATTTTTGCCTACATTTGCCAATCATATGCCAGAACCGAAATCAAAGTTTGAATCACATTGCACTCTTCAGAGCGTATACTGAGGGGACTCGTTTAACCAACCTAATGGTGTCCAATGTTTTTAAAAACACAAACAGATAATTTTTGATTCGTGAAGGATTCTTAACGTTACGCTTTATCCATCGCATCTAAATTACATTTTCGAATGTAAGATATTTCTTGGTTCCACTAGCACATTTAAGAGAGGTTGAAGGCACCGTCCATCCTAAGTTGAGGGCGTTGAGCTTTTGGCGGCATATAATAGTAGGGCCTCCTATCAATCCAATTCCCAAGTCGCGTCGCAAAATTCCAATTCGGAAGCGAGAAAATCGCTTCGGAATAGCGGAGATGCACGAGGACCACCATCCATGCCCGCCCTCCCCATCCCCGCCCATTTGTGCGCGCCCATCCAGTCAACGTTTCGGAAAGCCGGCCTGTGGGCTCTCCGGAACGGGGATTGTCGGGGTTTTCGCGCATTCCAAACTTCATAATCGGAATCAGGGACATGAGAAGGCTCTGAAACGACAAAAACGTGGCAGTCGAAAACCTGGGTGGACGGTGCCTCTAAGGACATAGGTGCAAGCCAGCAACTTTTCTTCATGAATGAACAGCTGGCAGTGTACTTTTAGGGGAGACTGATATGTTTTCCGCAAGTTCTGTGTTTCTGCAATTGTATAGCAGCTTGTCGAGTGACGACACAGCATTGAACTTCAAGCATTGATGAAATAAACGTAGAAGTCTGCGCGAAAACTCTCCGCTGCTAATAAATTGCCTTTGCTTTCTTACTAGTGCAGAATATTTTCTTCAACAAATCTCGCATAGTTTGCAAACTTGTAGGCATTAACAAAAACATGCTTTATTGGACGTGTTGAGGAGACCTGTAGATTTTCACTTCACGGATCCCTTAATATAGATACTTTTGTGAGCCATTTGAACGTCACATTGGCATATGGGAAAAATTCGCTCGCCCTGAAAGTACGGATTTTCTTCCTTTCTGAAATAATTCCTGTTTCACTATATTTAGGACCTCCTCCTCTATGGTCGTATCTGTAGAATGCGTATCTCATATCGATCCGTCGTAAGTTTCGTATCAAAGTTTATAAATTCGCTGAGAACTTACCCGAATCGCCAATAACTACCACATAAAGCAATATTTTGAGCAAAGTAGTTTAGTACTAGAAGCGTACCTCCATCCCCGTTCTGCAGCCCACCAGCACTGACATTGCTCTGACCTACCACATAAAGCAATATTTTGAACAAAGTAGTTTAGTACTAGAAGCGTACCTCCATCCCCGTTCTGCAGCCCACCAGCACTGACATTGCTCTGACCATAACTCATATTGCTCTGACCATTATAACCCAAGTTGCTCCAACCATTATAACCGGCAGTGCTCTGACCATTATTACCCCACGTTCTCATCCCTGTTTGCGGGTAAGGGAAAGGATTCTGATAACCTCCGCCATATACTGAAAAGAATTTGCTTGCAGATTGTATAGACTAAATGAAAAATTCTACCGTGCAGCCGGCTTTTTGTGTAAGTGCACTATATAATTGAAAGAAATTTGTAAATGAAATGTACCTCGATTCTGTTCGGACCTTTGTCTACCGAAGGCTTCTTCAAACGGCACATATTGTATATTTTGGAGCCGTTTGTAGTACTTTTGATTTCCTTAAGATGCTCAGCATGTAAATTTTGGAGAAAGGCAAGGTAATGATAAATTTTATTATTTGTTCACTATGTATATTAAGCATTGCGCAGTGTTTCCTTTTTTCTTTTTTCCTGAGCGAGCTTGTGTCAGCTACAGCCCTACCACACTTCTTACTTTTTTGAATTAAAATTAGAATACTACAAATATTATAAAGTAAAGGTAAACAAAGAAGGGTAGAAGAGCCTACGTGCTACCTTGTGCAAGAGTAAGGAATACGACAACGGTGAGCGAAAAAAGTCGGAACCACATTTGGCGCCTGAAACAGTAGTCACAAAGTCGTGAAAATGTAATGCGAGAGTATGATAACAGCAGCGAAGTTGAAATTTATGGGCAATTTTTTTCTCACCTTCTTTGAATTTGTTTTCATTGTATTTTTTCCTGCGGGATTGCTAGACTAGACTGGCTTAGAATTGTAAATGTGTGATTTCTTTAGAAAATGCTAACGATGGCGCAGGTACTTTTCAAGCAACAATGCAACCTTACAGTAATACCCATGCATAATGCTTCGATGCTGATTATATTGCTGTAGACGAATTCGATTGTGGCGAAATAATTCTGGACTCATTGGCTATTCAATACGAATAATCTTATTTGGCTGACTGTATCGTTGATATGTATGTTCCCGTTAATGTAAAATGCAAACGTTTGACCTCCGGCCGAAGTAAGGAATGATCCATATTTAATCAGAATCTCATTCCCCTGTCGTGTAGCAGTAAAGCCTTTCAAGTTTGCATAAATTCAAACTAGGAGATATCACACACAAGGTATTACATAGAGTGTCCAGAGAAATGTGCACACTGTAAGTTATGATAATTCTTGCATTGGTGTCTTTCGTGCATAAGTCTTGCATTGGTGTCTTTCGTCAACCTTTGGGTATCTACCATTAGAGCTGACTTCAACTAAGGTTTAAGGGTGGAGCAAATCATCGATCGCTCTTCGTCATTGTAGGATTACCGTAGAAACTTCAAGCATACACACTGAGAGATAGGTCGCCTGACAAAATTCTTTTCGAGGATTTTGCAGAAGGGAAAGGGTTTTCGCAACCCGCTGATATCACTAAACCGACGAGTTTTCTGGGCTATTCTAGGGTTGTAATCACATTTCTGATGAGCATCGAAGAAAGCTGTTACGGTCACTAGCTTAGAAAAGGAAAATAGCGTCACAGTAAAGTGGAAATCAATTCGAAATCAGCGACCTTGAGTTTGTCTAACGTAAGAATTTTTAGCTTTGGTTTCGAAGCAAGATAGGGCTTTCAATGGGCCTAAAATTTTCATCAATTTACCGTAATCCTACAGCGATGAGGTACGGTAATTGATTTGCTCTATATAGGTGGAAGTTGAGGCCATCTCCAGTGCTCGGCACAGGTGACTTTTAAATAAGCTGGATATCTTTTTTGGGAGAAGAAGCAAAAGGGAGCATTGTTTTTGTGACCGAAAAAACAAAACTTAGATTACGTTTTTTGTAGGCGACGTTTCGTTTTTGAGGCTCTTTTACGTTTAGAATTCGGGTGAAGGTAAATTCGTGAAATTTCGCGAAAGTCAAAGGGGATTTCAGTTTTTGCATTTTCGGAAAGCCACCTCGTGCAGAGTTCTTGCCAGCTCTACACAATTGCACCCGAAGATCGCGAAACACATCATTGCAAGAAAGTTATTGACTATCAAACACTGTGCACTCACCATTATTTTGGGGCATCCTGTACTTTGATCCACTTCCATGAGATTACGCAAGGTGGAATTCATCTGAACATGATAACATTTGCGAGAAAGTTGAGCTGCAAAACATTATCAGGATGTAATTTTGGAAAACCTTTCAACTTGGAAGATCTCAACATATTTTTTGGTGTAGTCTTATAAATAGCTTAGAAACCATAAGCGATTACGGAACTTTTGCCCTCTATAATCTGGATATAGAACATTCAGTATCAGGGAAAATCTTCTTTCAATTGTCAGTGGTGAAAGAACAGAAAATTTCAAATGCAAATTTTTCTCACCTTGAGAGATCTGCTAGGCAAATTTTTTCAAATTCTTCGAAATTTTGGGCAATTTTTGCTGGGCCGTCCATTGGCTTCGCGATGAGCGAAACCGGTTAAATTCTATCAAACTTTAGAACAAGTTAAAACATTCAAGCAGGGGTTAAAGTAGGGGTTTCCAAGAAAAATATTCAGCGGCTTTAGAGCAAGAAAAATTTTTCGGTACTTTTTCATTATTTGTACCCATTTTTCAAAATCTTCCCATGAATTATGTGCTTCACACAAGAAAATTTCCATAGGTTCTATGAGGAATGTTTTGCTGCCACATGTGAAGATAAAAATTTGCCTCGTATTTTCCACAGGCATCTATCTTAATTTAAGAAATGCCAACAATTCTCATAATGCGGAAAATCGGGACATTTCTGTGATTTTCTGATAGTTTCCAATTTTGGGCATTCTCAGCCTCTTTTCTTTTTTGTTATTTCTTCTACATTTTTCGTGTAATGAGAAAAGCTGCGAGCTTGAAGCGGATAGAGGCAAACGTATTCTATTCTGCATGTTCCGGATACATGGAGCAAAACAACGTTCGTTCTTCAACCGCGTATCAAGTTCGCAGCTTTTTTCATCACGCGGAGAAGCAGGATATTGGAATGAGAACGAGATGAGAAAAACGTTGGAAACGGTCAAAAAGCTCTAACTCCCGCCGAGCAAAACAGCACGTTGGCGGCTGCAGCGCATGCAGTGCTGGGTACCATCACAAATCGACTCTAAAGTTACCGTAGTTCAAGTTTTTTTTGATGAACATGCTTGGAGATTTGCTTCATTGTGCGCATGTTAGGCTGGGTTCATACCGAACCAGAAGTTTCACAAGAATGTCAGCACAGTTCCCGCAGTGTGTTGGAACTGTGCTGACATTCTTGTGAAACTTCTGGTTCGGTATGAACCCAGCCTAACATGCGCACAATGAAGCAAATCTCCAAGCATGTTCATCAAAAAGAACTTGAACTACGGTAACTTCTAGAGTCGATTTGTGATGGTACCCAGCACCATACTACAAGCGACATCCATCGGCTTCTTACCCTTCAGCAAAGGACTCGACAGCAACAAATTGATTTTTGCCAATTTTCATTGTCAGAAATCAACTCATCGCCCCAGAGTCCTGTGTTCTGTCATACATCAGCTAAATATATTTGAGCACCCATTTGCAATCTAGTATACTATTCAACCATCAAAATGTGTATCAAACAAAAAATTACATTTGAACTTTTGCATCTTGAGCTATATGACTCACAGAAAGCTTAGCTCAAGTCCAATAAAGTTGAACTCAATGTGTTAAGTTCAAAAAAATTGTGAAAGACACAAAGGCTAAAGATTTACCTGAGTCACTGTCCTTCCTGCCAGCCGTTGCAAAACACTCGAGCTGTACGCTTAAAAATGCCGAGTTATTGTGACGCGTATGCGTCGGTGTAACGAAAAAGGAGCTTGGCTGATGCAACCTTAACTTGCAGGTTGAAGACACTAGTGGCCAACTTAAAGGCAGTGGCTCGGCAAATTTCAACCAAGTCAAATTTGCACTTGCCTGGGGTTTTTCAATAAGCTGATCCCGATAATCCACTTTTGAAAGCTTGAAAACGGCAAAAATAAGCGTTTTTTAATGCCCTTCCCTTTGGAATTGGACGAGTGGAGCAAGGCCGATAACACTAAATCGTGGCAGGACCCAATAGTTATAGCGTTGCGGCGAGCAGCCTTCAAGGGTGAGAAGGAACTTGCCAACTCGTCCAGATGCGTGTAAGATTGAGAGCGATTTTCTCGGCAGGGAAAGCATGCTGTGCAACCGGGATTGCAGTGTTTTCATACTTGAGCGATAAGGAACCTACCGCGTTAGAATCTTGAGTTGTTGTGTTTGTGTTTGCCGATCCACTGCCTTTAATTCAGCTTGTTCGCTCCTCTGGGCTTATCCGCATACGGTTGATGCGGAAAACCCTCGCAAAGCACAAAAACTGTTAAATTAGACTTTTTCCAAAGTCTTATACAATACGTTCTATGACTATATGCTCACCGAAATTTGCTATTCCCGGATTTACAAAAGAGATTGAACACAGTCACTGCCTGTGTGATCTACATATAATACTGAATAAGATGATATCTCACAATATTCCTCGGTTCCTATAATACATTTAAACCCTTGTCTAATCTTTCAGTGTTTCAGAACTACACAACACCTTTGAACGGGGTGCTTTCTCTAGGGAAAAGAAAGCGCAAAACAGGATTTTGATAACGGGCCGGGCCAATGGGCCTTACCACTTCACCAAGGTTGAACATGTTTCTAACAAATTCATGCATGTCTCCGTTTCAATGTTGTCATATGCACCTATAACGAGCTGCTTCAACTACTGTTAATACTGCTTGTGTCTGCATAGAAACGCTGTGCTAGATCTGCAGAAACTGTCTGAAGGATTCAGGACAAGACACCATGGTGACTTTTACAGAAGTTGCTCGCGATGTTGACGGAGCGGCGTTGAGTGACCCGCGTGCATATTTATATACCTTGCGCAGCTGTGAAAGGTAGTGCTGTCATCGACGCTCGTAAAACGAGAACGGTCATTGGCTTTCTAGTACTCTTGGCAAGCTACGTCGAAATTTTTTCGTTGAAATTAGACTTTTGAAATACGCAAATACTCCTAGACTATGGAAGAAATTCACCAAAGTTCCTCTTGCTCTTAGATGATATGGACTCCACTCAAAGTCGATCTTCTAACCGTCACAGTCGTCTAAGCCAACTTTCATATTGACACTGCGTTCCTAAAAAACAAGCAGTATGAGGCCATGGGAAAGGTGAAGCAGTTGTTAGAGATGCATGTGACAGCACTGAACCAGAGCGTGCATGAAATTGTTAGAAGCATGTCTAATGAACTCAATGAAATGGTAAAAGGGCCCGATGGCTCGACTAAAAAATTACATTTGCGCCATAGGTGCGATAAAATGAGGAACGACACTTTCATGGTGAAAGGAATCACAGCGTGCGCAGCCCTTCCAGGGTAAAGGGCGTTTCACTCAATAATTAGAAAATGTCGGCCAGTGGCGGAGAAGGGTGGGGGAGGGGGAAGAGGAGTACAATACCGCTCATAATTCGTCAAAAGCGGCAGAGTGCGCCACACTCCACTAGAGTCTGCCACACTCCACTAGGGTCTGCCAGAGTCTCTAGACAGTAAGTTTCCGCTCAGTTTTGCAGTTTTTTTTGTTTGGTTGGATTGTTCAGTTGGCTGACCACAGTATTGCGATGATTTGTCGCTGATGACACATAAAAAGTATACCGGAGGAGTATGGTAGAGA